GAGAGAAATGTTGTGCCAACCTTAAACACACACAAGGCAACCTCATGTAGATGTAATAAAATCAACCTCTGTGAGCATGAGTGACCATGGGTACGTTAATGTGGGCTGGCATTGCTGGGAAGTTGATTTAGGAACTGAGGCCAGAAAGATTAGAAAGAGCCAGCCAGGTAGAGAGATGGGCTCAAGCTCCTTCAGGTAGAGTGCTTAAGAGGACAGGGTGGCTGAGGCATGGTGGCAAAGGGAGAGAGGGGATGAATGGCTTTTGGAAATATGGTCAAAGCCTGAACCATTGTAGGCCACTATGAATAATTTGGTCTAGTGGGATCTAGTGGACGCTGAATGATCTTCCTGATTTCCTGCACTGAATGACCGTGGCTGGTGAGTGGGGAACAGGCTGAGAGGAGCAGGAGTAGAAATAGAGTGAGGAAAGGCTGGGACCCCCAGACCAGGGTGTGTAGTGGAGATAGGGAAGTGGACCATTCTGGATGTATTTTCGAAGTAGGAACAGAAGGACCTTGTGTTAGATGAGATGAGAGGTGAGGAATGGTTAATTTGGAAGACTTCACAATATCTGTCTTAGGTTTAAATACTGACAAATACGCAGGGAATATCCTTATTCGAATCACATGATGATGATTACAGAGGAAGACCTCGAGTTTCCATGAATGTCCCAGTTCCTTGCAGGAAGGATGTCTGAGGATGGTGTCTGTATGGTCGTCCTCTGGGGCGTACAGCCCCACACTGGGATTTAGCAAGCTACTCTGCGGGTCGTGTTCCGTCCCTCTGCACCCTGCTAGTACCCTGTTGTGTGATCCTGGCTCACAGGGGTTTGGGAACTATTTTGCCTGTCTCAGTGACATAGCTCCCAGTGTCAGGAATGTGATATAAAACTCAGCCATGTTATTTCCACTCTCATGCTTTTCCTGCTACATGAGGCTGCTTCACAGAAGTTAGCAAATACATAAACAATTAAATACTATGTCTATGTCCATGGGCTCTTCCCTGTCTGGCTCAGGCAGGCTGATGGCCCTGGGCAGCTTTGTGCTCATGCCGTCGACGGATGACTGATTGATCCCATCAGAACAGCAAAATAACACACATTATGCCTGCTTCTCTAGATATCCTACTTAATGCATGACTATCTGTTAGATGACAGCCGTGCATTAATCTAAACTTCAACACCGGAACAAAGAGGATGCTCTTTGCCATCTGTCTTTCATACGTGAACAAGCCAAAGTTTAAAGATGCTGAATGTCTTGTCTAAGGTCACACAACTGGAAAGTGGCTTTAACAGGTTGGGAATTTGGAGCTACTGGGTTCTAAAACCCAGTTTTTTGTTGTTGTTGTTACCTTTGTTTTTATTTTTTATTGTTTTTTTAGTGTATTAAGTTTTAACTTTAATTCCATTGTAGTTAACATACAGTGTTATATCAGTTTCAAGTGTACAATATAGTGATTCAATAATTCTACACATTACTCAGTGCTCATCAGGACAGCTGCCCTCCTTATTCCCCATCACCTAGTTCACCCATCCCCCCACCACCGCCCCTCTGGTAACCATCAGTTTGTTCTCTGTAGTTAAGAGTCTGTTTCTTGGTTTGCCTCTCTCTCTTTTTTTCCTTTGCTCGTTTGTTGTTTCTTAAATTCCACATATGAGTAAAACCCAGCTTTTTCTTCCACAATGAGAAATCCTTATGGGTAGGTGAGCTTGTTCTACCTGGTACCAAGGAAAAGATCTTTTAACTTGATTCTTTATAAGAATGAGAAAAAATTTAGCTGAGTAGATTGAACAAGCAGATTAATAAAGTATGCTTTAACATAGCAAGTTAATTATTTATGTCGGAGTAATCTGCAAGGATGTAGGCAGGTTTGGTAATAATACAATTTTCCTCCCTGGTATTGGTAGTTAACTTCATCCAGGTGAGATGAGGTTTCCTGATTACACTCCAGCTTTTTCCTTCCCATCCTGTTTTCTCACCTTGATGCCATGTCTCCAACCCTAAGACTGAAATCTGTTTAGGTCGTAAGCTCCCTGAAGACAGAGGCTGTGTCTCATTCCTTTTTGGATTCCCAGAGCCCGGAAGAGTGCTGGCCCAATGAATGGCATACCCTTCAGCTCTGGTTTTCCTAGAATCAGCTTCCATATGCTTTCTTCTGGAGGTCTCTGATGCCTGCTTTCTGCAGCTCAGATCTTCAGCTACACGTAACTGGGCACATGGGTGGCTAGAACTGCTGAAGTTTTAATATTGCCTCTGATGCTATTGCATAGAAAACTTGAAAAGGAAACAAGAAGAGTGTGGCTACAGGACTTAAACCCTGCGTTTTCCTAGAATACTCCCAATTGTGCAGATGTCCCATTTTCTTTGCTGAGCTTTGTGTCTCTAGATAGAAATATCCCTCTAGCCCCTGTGCTGAGCTGGCTGAGCTGGCTGAGCTGGTACCAAGCTGTGGGCTTGTTAGTGAAACTGACATACAAGTTCATGTCAATAACATTGGAGAACCACACCAGCACTTACTCGTGACCCACAAACTCTTAGTTTATGCAAAGCTCTAACAGCTGTGGTATGTCTGCTTTCTACCTCTCAGCATACTGAATGCATCACCTTGTGAATGTATTGATGGGGATATGGGTGGCAGAGAGAAGTAATAATTCTTGGTTTGCCTGGTAGCAAAGGAAGGAATGGATACACTGTTGAAAACAGAACTAGGGCTTAAACATCTGGGAACCATTTAGTGCCTGTTGAGAAGCCAAGATAGCTTCTGAGATACCCCTCTAAAAACTCAGCAGTGTAGCTCAATAATTGATATCAATAATGATGACCCAGAACCCCAAAATTTTTCACTCTTATTCAGTTGACTGATTTGCAATATGTTTAACATGACACAAAGTATGCACTATGTTTGAGAAATGTTTTTGCACTATGTTTGAGAAATGTTTTTGGAAAATTATTAGCACTATCTAAAGTGCTAATAATTTTCCAAGGGCAATAAAATAACCTATAAAATTTTGGCTTTTTGCACAGTTGTATGTTACCAGACAGTTGTGAGTAGTAAAGGTATGTGTGTGTATGTGTGCGTGTATGTGTGTGTATGTGTGTGTGTGTGAGACAGAGTTCCTGTGTGTGCTGATTATTAATATCAATATTTTGTATCTCAACGTTTGTTTATTTTAACAGAAGCACATTCTTCAATCCCGTTTCAGGATGTGAATGAACCTTTTATTCTATAAGATACAAAAGGCTCTGATGATGTAAGGCAGGAAATGGCACGTGGTGGCAGGTTAGGGAGCAGTTAAGATGATTTCTTATCACCATGGAGACAAGACATCTGGTGCTCTAAAGACTCTGTGTGTCCTTGTTGCCCCTGAAAATTCCATGCATCTTGGGAGTTCAGACTGTAACCCAGACCCTGGGTCTTCAGGGCTCTCTCCTAGTCAAAGGCTTCTTCATCTTTATTTTGTTTTAAAATGTTGATCGATTTTGAAATGGTTTCAATGGGAAATGAGGGCTAGACCAAATGGTTTCAATGAGGTACAGTAATTGGGACAATTCCTTCTTCCTATGAACATCTCAGGAATGTTTAAAACAAAGTTCAAGTTCTTCTGAAACAACATGTCTTAAGGGTCTTATTTGGCATGCTAAGTGAGTAAAAAAAAAACTGAGATATTACAGGAGCAAGTAAGTGATTAAATTAAATGTGCCTGGAGAATAGAGCCCTCTCAGGAATCTGCAGACTAATAAATACGTGCAGCTGCTTATGCATTTCCCAACACTTCTAAGCAATGGTACACAGAATGCTTTCCACTTACATTTCACCACTGCTGATGGCCTGTCAATTCTACCGAAAATACTCTGTGTTAGAAAGGTGACAGGAATTACATACATTATCTTTTTGTTTCTCTTTACTGTCTACCGCTCAGTACTTTAAAAAAGCTTGTTATTAAAACATTATGTAAGTATGCAAAATATACTGAAAGAAAGAATGTTTCAATTATACACAGTATGTATCGGTAAGAAATGCTGTGTGTGATGACATACGACAAATGGTAAAAGGTATTTTTAGTTGCTTTCTCTTTGGGGGAGGATAAAGCAAAAATATCTAGAATATACAGCATTTGCTTTTCTAGCTATTTTAATATTTAGCGTATTTAAAATATATTTTAAAGTAAGTAAAACAGTTTAAAAAGTGAATTTTTTACTTAAAGATTTTTGTACTTTTTTTTGGTTAATTTGCATTGTTTTAAAAAGCTTATTCTAGATTGGTATCTGTTTTTTAATTTTTTTTCTTATCCATGCCCTTTTGAATTGCTCTTACTTGCATTAGAAATCATAAGCCATTTTTATTTTATGTGAACAACTGGTCTATGAATAAAGTGTAGTCTTCATAAAAAAATAACCAAGAGCTGTAGGAATTGTGTTCATAACTTAAATATTTGAGACCTAAAATTATCAAAGTCAGGATGCCTGGAAATTCTGATTCAAATAAATGAAAGGAAGTTTCAAATGAACTAAGAGCAACAAACAATACAAGAAGGTAAATTATTGGTATTTTAGTCCTTCCTGAAAGACACAGAATCGCATTATCCCCCACTAGAATCGTATCAGGCAGAGAAATCTTCTGTAAGAGAGTCTAACAATGTTACGAGAGTGTTGTCCTGAGTCACTCACCATGTGGGTGTCACAGTTCACTTCGGCGTTCACACCTTTGCCTTCATTTGGTTTATCATCGAATTATAACTGAACAGTAAAAATTGTCTTCAGATATTTACATTTTCAAAGGAAAAATTACCTTTATTCTTCTTAGAGCAGCCCTGGCATTTGATCTCTGAACGTGGACAGTTCTCTACAGGTAGACCAGTAAAGGTCCGCATCTCAGGAGGGAAAGTGATGATTGACGATTGTTGGAGTACCGATTAAGAAACTGCAGAGTCCTCCAGAACACCTACGACAGGGGGAGTTGATCTTAGTCTTAGAATTGAGCATTAAGTGTTGGTTGTTATTATGAGGAGGTAAGATAGTTCTTCCTGGGAAATTTGTGGATATTTTATTACTTTCCAGCCTAACATTTGTGATTTTCATGGAAACACTTCAAACTGAGGCAAAGGTTCATGCTCATGTGAGGTAGAAATTCACCAAAGAAAGTTAATATTCCCTTGATTTGTCACATTCTAAGAAAGAAGTTGTCATCAAAGAACATCTGCTAAATTAGCTGCACATTAATTATATGCCAATTCTGCTGCTCTAAAGAAAAATACATGACCTTAAAACTTAATTCATGAGATTAGACTTTCTAAGTATATATTTACTGTGTGGCATACTTACTCAAAACTCCTAATTTAGGGTAATTGAAAAATTAAAATAGCTTGGACCCTTAAAGTAACTGACACACTCCTAGCATTAGCCTTTGCTTAAGCTTCCTACAGGTGGGAAAAAAATATTCAATGTCTTTGTTTATGTGATTTGAGTTGCTTTTGTTCTATTTTAATTGGGCAATCATTTTCTTCTATTGCAGGATCTAGATTTCTCATCACATCCACGGGAGCCTTGTATATTAAAGATGTACAGAATGAAGATGGATTGTATAACTACCGCTGTATCACGCGGCACAGATACACTGGGGAGACCAGGCAGAGTAACAGCGCTAGACTTTTTGTATCAGGTAAAAACCCATCGAGACTTGTGGTTCCCATTTCTGTTACTCCTTCGTTAGTGTCCTGAGCGAAGTCAACCAAACTTGTAGAATTCATGACTCAAATAAAGACTTCTTTTTTTTCCCCAAAAATATATTAGCAACTAAAGGGTTTTTTTTTTTTTTTTAAACCAACCCTAATACTATACACTACACATATAGATATTCCAAGGAAAGTCATTTCAGGTTTTGTAAAATTCCACATTCCTATGACCCAATGTGGCTTCTGTTTTGAGGAGAATGCCTCCTTGCCCTGTGTATTTGTGTCCTGTCCACCAGCACTACGAGGCTCTCGTGACACATAGCTCTGAGGGAGAAGAGCAGGGGCACAGGGAACACACCTCTTGTTCCCCATATTATGTCTAACAATATTGGGGAAATAACCCACATCTAAAAGGATAGTCACTCCCTCCCACCTCTGTCCAGGATGATTCTCAAGTGAAGAAAACCTGAAGGCTGCTAATTCCACTCTGCTGGAAATATACCAGTTTTGTGTCTTCCTTTATAGCATTTATACTTTGAGAAAATATCCACCTTTTGCATAATTTTCACCACTGGCTTGTTACTGGCCCATCTGTCAAACAAGTAAGCAATCTGCTCACACGGCAATGTGCTCGCTCTTCGTGGAGCCAATTAGAATGTGAGATGTCCATCTCGGTCCTAGAAATCTGGTGCAAAACATCTGACCTTTGCCCTTGCGTCTTTAGAAGGTAAAACTGCTTCGTGACCTGAATATTTTCATCTTATTTGTAGTGATGCTTTGTGAGGAAGAAGAGATGGAAAGTTGTTGACCATTGGTGTAATTTAAAGCATTGCTGCCCAAACACCTACTTAGTGTGCTTTTGCTGGGTTCCTCATCCACATTCACATCCTTAAAATAGCCAGAGTCCACCTGTGTTTCCAGGGGCTTTGCAAACACAAGTCAGAATCAAGTGATTTCTTCTCTGTACACAGAAATACTTTTTATTTACCTCTTCTTTTTCATGCCAAGTGTTACTTTATCTCTTGCTTTATAGCTCTGCGTTGTTGCTTCTGTTAAGGGCAGGAACAATCAGTATAGTAAAATTATACTCCATTAAAAAAAAAAAGACTAGAGAAAAACAAATGAGAAAGTGAATGACATCTGTGATCTTTGTCTATGGTGGCTTTAATGACAGCACAGTGTTCTACTTGCTCAGAATATCCTAGAAAAGGTCTTGTGTGCAGTCAAGAGGAATGTCATAACAGTATTGGGACAAGAAAGGGGAAGGATTGGGGGGTGGATCTGGGTATAAGATTGAATTGAATTTTAGCAAAAGAAGCAAAAAGCATTTCTCCATCCCCCAAAATGAATTAAGTGATGGTATTCTGAGAGCTCATCTTCTTTTTTTAAGATTTTATTTATTTGTTTGCCAGAGAGAAAGAGAAGAGAGAGAGTTTGCAAGCAAGGGGAGCAGCAGAGGGAGAGGGAGAAGTAGGCTCCCCGCAGAGAAAGGAGCCTGATGTGGGACTCGATCCCAGGATCCTGGGATCATAACCTGAGCTGAAGGCACATGCTTAGCAGACTGAGTCACCCAGGCATCCCTGAGAGCCCATCTTTCTTGAAAAAGAAACTTGAATAGGAAATCTGAAAAGAAGGAGAAAATTGGGGAAAAAAGAGAGAGAGAGAGAGAGAGAACCTGAAATGTGGACTTGTTTCTCTCTATTCTAAATTATTAAGTACTGATTTTCAAATTTAACTCTTAGGGTTGGAGAGGCAAATTTACTTTTCTTAATTCCAAGTTTTTTTGTTGTTATTTTGTTTTTTTAATAGAATGTCTTACTAATGTTTTAAACATTGACAGCAGGACCCATGAGCACTTGGTCACTGTGGAAGTGAGTGGGGTCCATGAGGTCACCCAGTGGGCATTTGTGATGGGAAGTGAGGAGCCTCAGGGCACAGTCTCATGAAGGAGTGTCTCACACTAAGATATTGAGCATCTGGGGTTAGAGGTATAGCTGTAGGGTCAACAGAGTCAGGTGTCATGGAAAGACTCTTGAGAGAGTCTCTGTATGTAGCACGTAACTGTGAAGACTTTTTGTCACAGAAATGTTAATAACATAGTTGAGGGAGGAAATTGTTACTGCTAGAAAATTAGAACATCAACACTGAGTGCAGATGACTATTCTAGAAATCTAAGCTTTGAAGGAAAAAGAAAAATTAATTTTACTTTAGATTTAAATGCATTTAAAAATGCACACATGGGGTTTGGGTCCTGTGGGGGCATGCTAGTGACAAGGTTTTAATGCTCTTAAACTCCTCCTGAAACAAAAACAGACCAAATATGATGGCAAAAGAAAAAACACAGGGACAAGGCCTTCCAGGAACACTCGGTGGAAGTGGATCATGGGTTGGTGTGGACGGAGCGTTGACAGCAGTGGGGGCATGCAGGAGTGGCCGCCATGTCATGGAAGCAGTGGGCACCAAAGGGGCGCAACCCGCTGGGACTCCACGTGGTCACAAACCTGCAAAATAGTCAACAGATACTCCTCTTCAAAGCAGAGAATCAGCCCTTGAGTGGACCCTGGGGAAATGTGTCTAGGAGTATTCACCACCCTCGGATAGACCTACCTGAGTTCGGAGTGGAAGATGGGTGCAAACTGCCATGAGAGCAGTCACTGATGACCACATCGCTCGGTGGTGGCCCGGCTCCTCGAAGATCTCACAAGTGTCCAGCAAATAAATACTCCTTTCAGAAGAACAAGGACTCACCCCAATAAAACCACTGGCGTTTGGAGTCAAGTTGAGCCAGAGTGGCTCAGAGTGACTCAGCATTACTAAGGATGACGAAGGAGGCTCGGGCGGCATGGGAGGCCTTGAAGGAATCCCATCCTATAAAATACTATAATGTAGAATGGGGCAGGGGGCGGGGTTACTTATGTTTATGCTACTTTTATTTGGAACCAAGATTTTCAGTGTAAGAGAAAAGATAAAAATATAAAATCCTTGAAATGTCCAATAGAAACTATCAGTACACATGCTGTATTTTTATGAATGTGTCCCCAAGGTCCTTACATTGAAAAGGCCTGGAAGTGATGGGGAACAGACAGCAACAAGCACGTCTAATGTCTAGATCCCAGCGTCCTTTAAGTACTCCCCCTAAAAGGGACCATGATTCCTTGGAAGAATGGTGGATTATAGTGCCTGGGACAGGAAATGTATAAATGGGCCTGAAACATTAATGGGATCTTGTCAAAATGATACAGGGGACAACTTCTGAAGGGGCTCTCACTGGCTGAGAGCGTGATGAGTTGAATTTCAAAAATAATGATTGCATTTGATTGATAACCATTTAACATTTTAAAAACTTTTGAGTTTGTTATGAATACACACATGTACATATATACTTATATGCTTACGTTGGTATATACTTTGATACATGCACACATGTCTACTTAATAACAACCAAAGCAATAGTGAGAATCTCATTGGTCTACATAGAAGAAACTAGGGCACCAACTCTTGATTTTGATACTTGGTAGATTAAAGAGAACCACAATTCTCTTTATCTTTCCTATGACTGTTGTATTTCAAAATAACCAAATAATCCTAGTTTAGGAAGGAAAGTTCTTATTTGCAGAATAATTACATCTACTGAATGTGAAGGAGCTATGACAATTAGAAAATCATTTCAACCTTTAATGAAATAACTAATTCAGACAAACTTTATCACCTGAACTTGCTGAATAATTCAGTGTCACTGAGTGCAAGAAAGCTTCGTGTTGTATGCGTGTAGAGAGAAAGGAGAGAGGTTGAAATTGGTTAATCAGCTCATGAGAACTAAGTTCCAGTTTATGAGAAACATGGCCAGAGGAACACATTCAATGACATCATCAAGAAAGAAATTCAGACCGTGGGGTTTCCTACAAAACAATTCACCTGGCTTCTTCAGCAAGTCAGAGACATGAGAGAGAAAAGAAGGAAGAGCTTGTTTTGGATTAAAAGAGAATTGAGAGACATAGCTGTTAACTGTAGAACAAGGCTGTTTAATTAGCACAATTGTAAATAATAATAATAATAATAATAATAATGACGTGTTTTTAGCTCATCAGGGAAAAGTGAATATGGAATGGATACTAGATGGTACCAAGAGGTTATTATGACTCTTGTAGGTTACTAACATTGCGGTTTTATAAGAAAACTTTTATTTTTTTTAGAGAAACATACTAATGATATAGTGATAAGATGACATAGGTTCTATGATTTGACTCAATACGATAGCACCAAAGGCAAAGACTATAAAGAAATAAACAGATAGATGATAAAAATAATTTTGATGCCTCTCGTGTCTGGGTGATAAATATATGAGATGCATTATATTATTTTTTCTACTCTTGTGTGAGTTTGCAAGTTTTCTATGATAAAAACTTATTTTTAAATGTAGATAAACGGATTGAAGATGAGGGGATGAAGATTAAATACTGCTGTTTGGTTGTACTAATTTTGTACATGTCCCACCTCCAGCCCCCAGGCAACCACCAATTAACTGCCTGTTTCTACCCATGGGCACTTTCTGTGTATTTCCTATAAGTTGTATCTCACAGCATGTGGCTTTGTATCAAGCTTCTTTCATGTAGCATAATCTTTTGTGGTTCATCCATGTTGTAAGATGTATCAGTAGTTTGGGGCGCCTGGGTGGCTCAGTTGGTTAAGATGTATCAGTTCACTCTTTTTGATTGCTGAATAATATTCCATTGTACGTATATACACATCTCATTTATCCCTTCACTAACTGATGGACATTTGGGTTGTTTCCACTTACTGGCTATTATGAAAAATCCTGCCAGGAACATCTGTGGTTATGTCTTTGAGTGAACACGGTTTCATTTGTCTGGGATAGATACCTAGGAGTGGAACTTCGGGGTGCTGTGGTAAAGTGAAGTTGAGCATTTTGAGAAACTGCCAAACTGTTTTCCAAAGAGGCTGCACTATTTTACTTTCTTATCGACAGTGTATGGGGGGCCAGTTTCTTCTCCACTTCTTCATGAGCACCTGTTCTTGTTCATGTTTTTTATTATAATCTTCCTAGGGGGTGTGAAGTGGTATCTCATTGTAGTTTTAATTTGCATTTCCCTAGTGGCTAATGACACTGAGCATCTTTCCATGTGCTTATTAGTCATTTGAATATCTTCTTTGGTGATATATCTATTCAGATCTTTTGTCTATTTTTTTTAAGATTTTATTTATTTATTTGTCAGAGAGAGAGAGAGAGAGAAAGCACAAGGACAAGCAGGGAGAGCAGCAGAGGGAGAGGGAGAAGCAGGCTCCCTGCTGAGCAAGGAGCCTGATGTGGGACTCGATTCCAGGACCCTGGGATCATGACCTGAGCTGAAGGCAAACACTTAACTGGCTGAGCCACCCAAGCGTCCCCTCTTTTGTCCATTTTTTGATGTGTTTTTTTTTTCTTATCATAGAGATGTCAGGGTTCTTTATGTTTTTTGGAGAGAAGTCCTTTATCAGAAATATTATTTGCAAATATATTCTCCCAGTAGGTTGCTCCTTATTTTTTCCTTAGTGGTATCTTGGAAAGTGTAAAATATTTTCACTGTCATGAAGTGTAATATATTGATTTTTTGCCACTTGTGTTTTTGGTGTCATGTCTTAGGACTCTGCCAGACCCAAGGTCATAAAGATTTTTTCCTACTTTTCATCTAAAAGTTTTATAGTTTTAACTCATACATTTAGATCTACAATCCATTTTAAGTTAATTTTTGTAGGTGGTGTGAGGTAAGGTTTCTAAATTCTTCTTTTTGATATGGATATCCAACTGTTCCATTCCTTCTTTTAAAAAAAAGTCAGATTTAGGGACACCTGGGTGGCTCAGTCATTAAACGTCTGCCTTCAGCTCAGGTCATGGTCCCGGGGTCTTGGGATCGAGCCCCACATCGGGCTCCCTGCTCAACGGGAAGCCTGCTTCTCCCTCTCCTGCTCCCCCTGCTTGTGTTCCCTCTCTCGCTATGTCTCTATCTGACAAATAAATAAATAAAATCTTTTAAAAAAAGTCAGATTAACACAGCACTATCTTAAGTATATTTCAGAAATTTCTATCAACAATTAGTTACAGAACAAAAATTTTAAGTGCAATCATCAGGTATTGCTTTCTATGTGACTAGCGTTAGAAGTGGGCGCCTTTTGTTTCCTGGGTTGTGGACTTGTTCTACAAAAAAAAAAAAAAAAAAAATCAACTGTGCCCACCAAAGGAGTGACACCTTCTTTGTGTTACCTTTTCCAGCACCAGTGCTACTTCCCACTCTAAGCCAAGCAATAGATTTGGTAACTATGTAGTGCATAAGAAAGCCACTTGCTCTTCAGTACTTTCCAAAGTCCGTCTAACTTCCTTCAGGAGGAGATTGAAGCAATAAGGCCTCTGCTGGCAAGGGCTCTGCACCTGCTACTGTGGGCTTCTTAGGTCTGTAATCCCTCTGGAGCCCCACACCTAGACATGTGAGTGAGAATAATTATGGGCAACGAATTCTTCAGTTATAATGGACGATGGAAGTACAGAAGAGTCCTGGAAAGGAGATTATTAGGTTCCTTCATCATATCCCATGAGAGCATTCACATTGTTCTCATAAAGCACCAGGGAGGTGAGAAGAGCAGCGGTATGTCATGGATTTTATCTCTGATGGTAACAAAGGAAAGCTCCCGGCAGAAGTGGCTTCTGCTCGGTGAGTTTGACACATTCACTTGGGTCTCCTGACTGCCCCTGGTGGCTGACTGTGGAATCACAGCACTTTAAGAGGCCATTCCAGGGGGTTCTTTGATAGGATAGAGGATATCCAGTCCTTTGCTTTTGTGTTTACTGCAGGCAGAACACAACAGCCATGGTGCTTTTCTAACCAAGGCAAAGATAAGAAGAGTTCAGGAGCCAGGGGCTCTATCTGTTCTATATATCCATGTGGAGACTAGTGTTAACCACTCATGTGTGTGGTCTAGTGCAAGTGCTGAACAGGAAGAGTAAAAGAGAGGGTAAGGAAAGGTCACTGACTTTTATGTTGGGCATCCAAAAGGGGACCTCTATTTTTGCATTCTTCATAATATTCCCTGAGAACATCGATTCCTCAAAGCAAGCTTGGCCATTGAGCTGCATGGTTTCCACTGACCCAGTTCTTGAGAGCATTTGGTCCTCTGTTATGTCAGGCTTTTCTGTTTCTCCGTTGCACCTACTACAAGCCGCACCACCTTTATGTGTTCATGTGCTTGCACATTGCCCACCAGCCCCGTTCATGCAATCGGATGTAAGCTCCATGAGGGTCTCATCTTTTCCTGTCTTGTTCGCCACCATGTTTCCAATTCCTGACTGTATGCTGGCCCTGGAAGTGAGGCTCAACAATATTTTTAAATGAGTAAATAAAACACTTTCAAATTCAATAACTATCTATAAAATTCTTTTTTGTGTGTGAAATAAATTTTACTAATGTCAAACAACTATCTGTGCTACTGTTGTTCTTTTGAAAGGGGAAGTCTGACCTTCTCTGGTCACAAGACAACCCAGTTCTTGGCCTGGGCCAGGAGCTCCTATACAGGCATGCTGATTCTGGAGTTCCTAGTTATTTAGTGGGAAATGAAAAGCAGAACCTTTTCTGCCTCAGCCTTTGGAAAATTCTGAGCAGAATAAATTTCAATGAATAGGGCTGTTCTTTCTATTCTTTAATAAAATCTTGAAGATGTGTTGTCAATAGTTAGCATGATGTATAGAATTTAACTTACACACAAGCTCCTATGATTCTAAATGACCACTTCAACTCATTCACTACGTCTAAGAGTTTTTCTTTCTTTCTCAGACCCAGCGAACTCAGCCCCATCCATACTGGATGGGTTTGATCATCGCAAAGCCATGGCAGGGCAGCGTGTGGAGTTGCCTTGCAAAGCGCTTGGGCATCCTGAGCCAGATTATCGCTGGCTGAAGGACAACATGCCCCTGGAACTTTCTGGAAGGTTCCAGAAGACCGTGACAGGGCTGCTCATTGAGAACACTCGTCCTTCAGACTCAGGCAGCTATGTATGTGAAGTTTCCAACAGATACGGCACTGCTAAGGTGATAGGCCGCCTGTACGTGAAACGTAAGTCGGATGGTAGCTTGGAATGGTGATGTTGACCGCCACTGATGGGGCTCTTGTTACAAGATGACTTCCAGGCTCTCGATATAGCCTTCCATTAATCTTCACAACAGTCCTGCTGAGACCAGTATTACCCCATTTTGCAGATGAGGAAATGAATGCTCAGACAGATTGCTCAAGATTACACAGCTGGGGAGGTTGGGACTTAGGATTCGAATTCAGGTCTGTCTGAATCTCTGAGATTTCCATTAGGCCAACAGGATATGTATCTGAGATCACATTACCTAGCTGTTGAATTAATAATGGCCACCCTGTCTGAACATTGACAGAGGAAGAGGGACAGGCTTGTGATGTCAGCACAAGTGACCGTAGTCAGATCACAGTGGGTGTCCTTGGCCGACTTTCAGAGGCTACTTGATGTTCCGGAATGGGACTATTATCAGAACAAATATAGGTCTCTAAATGATCAAAATATTGGACTTGGACTCATTATTACATATCATTTAGTTCAAATATGGTGGATATGTTTCATCTCCAATAGATTTGTATTGACTGTCATGAGGAATGTGTTGAGAAGGATGCTGAAGCCAGCCTCAGAGGAAGGAGGGGTGTGACTGCAGTAGGGAGCGCTTTAATCTAGTCAGACACCCTCAGTTTTACTCAAGCAGAAACCAAATCAAAGTGAGTGACCCAGGAGCACATGGCCACAATTGACGGGCAGAGCTTTGGTCAAAATAGGTGGCTCTTAGATGCAAATGGAATGTTCTTTTCATTGTACATAATATTATTATATATTACATAAAATAATATGTGTATTTTTTTAATTCGATGAACAAATTGGCTGAACTAAAGCTAAATCGCGAGAGTCTACATTGAAAGGCGGAGGCATTTTCTTATCCCACTTTTTCCCAACCCCATTCCTGTTTATGGAAATGTCTTTTCAATGTCACCCTGACTGTGGACTGTCCCAGCCCAACAGAATTTGTTAAGAGTAGACATTCCAGGGACTTCCTGGAAACAGCTGCCCAGGGTGGGTCTTTTGAAAATCACACAAACATGCTTAGGCTGGGATTAGGGAGAAATGGAAGATAAGGTCTGTACAGCTCTATTTCTGTAGTTGAAGAAACTTCTAGATGCAATGATGCAGCGCTGGACAGCAAGTAAGAAGTATCTCTGGAAGCTCAAAATCGCTTCTGTGTTAAAACACCTTTCATGGCTCCCCATTTCCTGCTGAATAAGTTTATATTTTAGGATAGTATCAAAATCATCCCAAGTAAGCCTGTCTGGTCCTACTGCCCATAGTTTTGCTTCAAAGAAAAGATACTCCTATTAAATTTAATTTCTTCCTATTCCCTGTACAAACCCATTCCTATCCTGAACACCGGTCATGTTGCTCCCTCCACATGGAAGATGGTTTTCAAAGACTTAAAGGTCTCAAACTTCCCATTTTTTGAAGCCCAGTGCAGTGGCCTCCCCAGAGACATCCCCATCCCCAAGCATCTCATGCTCAGCTCTCAGGGTTTAATTTATTGTTTTCTCTGTAAAGGCATTTATCACTGTCTACATTTTAAAAGTTATCTGTGGAAAAGTCTTAGTTCTGACTGTGCTTGTTTTCACTACTGTGCTCTTTGCCACATTGGGATAAGTCCTCAAATGCCTCTTGAATGTTTCCTATCTCCCTCTGACTTCATTTTTGTCTTTCCTCTCTAGACAGAAAGCATTACCTTGGGTTCCAAATCCAAAACCCTCTTCTCTTCCATCTCTTCCCTCCTGGTGCTCTCTTTATTCGTATGGCTCCAGATTCCTCCCCTCTGAGAACAAGCCTGGATCTGCATGCTTAGCCTTGGATTCCTTCTTGAGTATTAGATGAGTATGTCTCCCAATTTTAGATCAGATGTTTTGCTGGCACTTCAGAACAACAGTATTGCAAACCAAACACTCCACCATCTCTACCTTGTCAATGGCTCTTCTTATTCGAAATGTCTTACCCCCTTAAGCCCCCCAAATGCAGGCTTTAAATCTTGGATTCTCCATAAAGCTTTCCTTTCTGCATCCAAGTCCTGCAAAGTCCTAGAGACTGTAACTCAGTGTTTCTCAGCCACGCTTCCCAACCCCATCCTGTACTAGACTGAGTCTTAATTGTACCTCAACTAGATATTTGCAATGCCCCCTTACTGACCCAGTTCCCCACTCCAATTTGTCTAACACATTATGATGAGTCAATTTTCCTAAAAATGTGTTTGACCATATCTTCACTTGCTAAAAATTCTTGAATGCTTCCTTTAGTCCCCACTGACTGAATTCCAAAATTTTGAGGCCCTTTGCCTACTTGTTCCAGGTTGCCTTTGTCATTTTTCTCCCATAATTTCCTACAGAAATGCTGTGTTCATTGCACACTGAGCAGACACAGTCTTCCTGTGACACAGCTATGAGGCATGCCCTAATTCACAAAATGCCCCTTCATTCCAGCTGGGCTCAGGTCTATCCGTCCTTGATATCTAAGGACTTTCTTGATCCCCTTCCACATAGTAGATGTCTCTGAGGGACCTATATCACTGCTTGGCTACTATATCTACTCTTATATTTGTCTCATTCATCCAAGATGTCCTTGGAACCAGAGACGCCTTGGTGTGGTAACACAAGATGTCAGGAATAATTAGGGCAAAAAAAAATGTTTTTTGCCATTTACCTGTTGAGTGGATTTGGTGAAGTTAATTAAGCTGTCTGAACAACCACTTCCTCTTCTGTAAAATGGATGCGATGATATGACAAAACATGCAGGACTGTGGGGAGACTGACTTAAACAATGTACAAAAGACATTTAGTAATTGGCACATGGCAGTTACGCCGCAAAAGTCATTCGTCTTTGTCTTACCTGTAAGTTTAACCCCGCTTTTGGCTTATAATAGATGCTCAATAAATGAACTTGTTACATCGAATTTGGTTTCTTGAATGAAAATGTGGAATGTCAAATAGGAGAGTTCCATCACTGTCCAAACCAGTTAGCCTCACTTTAAAGAAAAACCCTGTTTGTGCCCACAAATTCTAATACCCACCTGTTTTCTTACAGCTGTGTGTGATGGGCCCTGGTTAAACCACATGGGAGGGGGGTGATATGAGTGTGTGAGTATGTCCCAGAGAAACCCATCCATGTTGTTACCTTGGGACAAGGCAATAGGATTTAAATATTCAAATACCTCTGTCCTTAGCAGTAACCAGAACATGGCATTTCTTATTGTCAGTGGCTTAATCCTCACACTTACTCATTGAGAAAGCAATTTGACCATTGCCAGTCTATTTGCTACATAGAGATGGAAAGGCAAACAATGAAGAGGCTGCTCCTGAACAAAATAGTGTGCTATGACATAATGGTGAACATGAGATCTGTATAGAGTATGCTTACCGTGATGCATGCACCTTGTCAAAAGCTCAGCATGTTGTTGAAATGATGTCTGCATATGTGATTTTTTTTACCTTCTTTTTCTTTCTCTTACCAAAATTTCCAGAGCCACTGAAAGCTACCATCAGCCCCAGGAAAGTTAAAAGCAGCGTGGGTAGCCAGGTTTCCTTGTCCTGCAGTGTGACAGGCAGTGAGGACCAGGAACTCTCCTGGTACCGAAACGGTGAAATCCTCAACCCTGGAAAAAATGTGAGGATCACAGGGATCAACCACGAAAACCTTATAATGGATCACATGGTCAAAAGTGACGGGGGCGCATACCAGTGCTTTGTGCGCAAGGATAAGCTGTCCGCTCAAGACTTTGTGCAGGTGGTCCTTGAAGGTCAGTGGGCCTCGTTACAGGGTTCGGCCGCACCAGAACCCAAACCCAGAGCACTCAGAGAGAAAAACACTGAAGCAATGCTGATAATTCCCAGGGCTAAGATTTCTCTCTGTCTGACTAGCTAATAACTCTGCCCTAATTCTTCAGGAGAGATCGGGCTAATGAAAGAACCAGTGCTGGTAAAGTTGTAAGTGGTAGACGTAACAAAAGTAACTTCACGTTAGGTTAAGTAACGGGAATGTTGTCCATTCATGTGTTTAGTTACTTCTTAAGATACAGACCGCAGAAACTTACAACTTCAAGTTTGGTTGACAGTTCATTACCATAGACTGGAGTTGCTCAGTGATACTTTGTTTGAAGGGCCCTTTTATGTGCTCTGGGGCTTTTGGCAGCATCTCCGGCCTCTGCCCACTAGCAGCACCCCCTCTCTGAGTTGTGATAACCAAAAATACCTCCAGACATTGCCAAATGTCCCGGGGCCAGGGGCGGGGGGGGTGTGTGTGTAAGGGGAATAGACCCCAGCTGAGAAATACAATATGACAGACAAAATGTAGGGCAAAATTTCAATATAGTCCTTGGTGGAAAGGAGAAAAAGTGGCATCTGTGTGTACAGTTGTCCCTGGTTGAGTCCAGATATTCACAAATTTAGGTGAATGCAATTTGTGAGGAATGACCTCGGGTTGTTATAATAGGTCCTAGGTATGCTGTTCTCTTTTCTTAATGGCCTGCTTACATCTGAAGGCTTATCAATCAGCCAGGGAACAGAAGCTATCAAGGTAACATTCAAGTGAGACATACGTTTATCACCAGATAATTGAATGGCTTTTACCTGTATATGTGTGTGTCTTGTTGGAAATTATGTCTTTATGTATAATTTAACATTCATTTGGTATAAATTGATTAAAATAATTACATGACTTTCATATAAAGAGAGAAACATATTTATATATGAAAATAAGTTTAAATATGTCTTGATGTTCTTTGAGGTTATTTCTATTTTTTTTAATCTTAGCTGATTTTTAGGAAGAAGCAGACTTAGCAATGAGATTCTTATTTTGATTCAAGCATTTTCTTGCAGACAGTTTCTTAAAGTGGAGGTGAAATTAGCTAAAGGCATGGAACCCATATTAAATGCCTGACACTGAGATCCCCATAATAATTAAGTGCAGAAAGTAATCAATTTGTACAGAGCCGATTTGCTGCTGCTGATGCATTGTAGTCCTTACACATCACTATTTTTAGATTCTTTGTAGAAGAAGGAAAGAATACCTGTCTAGGCCTAGTTACCTTGGCAACTATCTCGTGTGACTAAGAAAACCTAAAGAGCATATTGATAATCCATAATGATGCCGAAAGATTTCAGGTTATCAGAGAGTGACAGCAAGAAAGATTTCAAAGACACTCAGGTCTCACTGGGAAAATAATGTCTGCTTTCATCTCCAAAAAAGCCTGTCACATGAATAAAAAAAGGGGGCAAAGGAGCATATTGAGCATACTCACAGATTTATTTGTTGCATGTCAGTTTCCATTCAGGACAAGAAGCTTCACTTATTTTTCTCTTCTGAGAGATGACAGGGCTAATGTAGCAAAAGAGAGCAGAAGTGTAATTATAAATACATATCTAGAATTTGCCTTAAAATGGTGTCTAACTAGTATCCTTGGATAGAGCCTCCAATATTCCCATTGAAATAGCTTTAGATTAATGTAAATTTTAAAAACTCACAATACTATGAGCTAAGAATGGCCATTGATATAATGCAGAATCTGGGAGTATTTTCTATGAGGCCAAAGAAACTGGAATGGAAGTCTAAAGAAAATGAAATCTAATAATTATAGGTTCAAGATCAAACCACAGTAACTGGAAAATAGAATAATAGAAAAGAACAAGAACAGTTCCTATGTTAGGAAATGATAGAATAGCATGTATCAGACTAAACTTCAAGCAGATAAAAATTATGAACTTGAGGAAAAACAAAACTTGGGAGAGACACCCAAAAGCAGGAAGAAAGGATTGGACCCATGAAAGGAGAGGAAAGGGTTGGGTGATACCTGCCTTGATACCACTTTTCCCTTGAGGACATTGCCCAGTTTTTGAGATGGGTGCTGTGGGGGGATGACAATACTGGAAGAAAAGTAGAAAGCTATAGTCTTATGGGATTTAGGTATAGAAGGACAGAAGTCTGTACTGTCAAATTACCTGCAGTTGAGGGAGGTGAGTTGAAATTCCAGGAAGGAGGGCAGTCCTAAATCCCTAACAGTGAGGAGTCCTGAAATCTAAAAATAAACTTCCTTGAAAAGCGTAGTTGACACCTGAACTGGAAAATGTGGAGGAGAATCCAATAAAAATAAAAATAAAAACAACTAGGGGTGCCTGCGTGGCTCAGTCGTTAAGCATCTGCCTTTGGCTCAGGTCATGATCCCAGGGTCCTGGGATCGAGCCCCGCATCGGGCTCCCTGCTCAGCAGGGAGCCTGCTTCTTGCTCTCCCACTCCCCCTGCTTGTGTTCCCTCTCTCGCTGTGTCTCTCTCTGTCAAATAAGTAAATAAAATCTTTAAAAAAATAAAAACAACTAGGCATACAAAAAAAAGGGGGGGATACTGTTAGCCGAGGTCAAAAGACAAAGTAGGCAGTAGAAATAGATCTTGAGAGAACCCAGATGAATGAGCAAAGGCTTAAAAGCTTTTATTTAAAATATATTCAATACCTTAAAGGAAAATAAAGGCATAATGAATAGATATCTGTGAAAGACCAGAAGAGAAAATGAAAATTATAAAAAGGAACCAGTAGAAATATAAAAATTCAGTATATTGGTTTTAGTGGGAGATTGGAGAAGAAATAAAGGATCAATGAACCTAAAGATAAATTCAAATAAATTATCCAATTTGAAGCATAGAGAGAAAGAAGACTAGAAAGGAAATGACCAGAGCCTCAGTGACATGGCACATTCATCAGGTGGCCTGATCCACATATAATTAGAGGCCTAGAAAAATAGGAGATTGACACTGGGGAAGAAAAAAGTATTTGAAGAACTAACAGCTACAGTTTTCTCAATTTTGGTATAAAAAAATAAAGTTACAGAGCCAAGAAACAGTAAACCCCAAGAAGAATAAATACAAAGAAAATCACATGTGGGCACATTAGAGTCATGTTGCTGACAACCAAAGATAAAGAAAAAATCTTACAATTCTGAGGAAGGAGAAATATTAAGTAAACAGAGTTATCAGTATGAATGATGGATGACTTCTCATCAGATATTTTGGAAGACAGAAGACAATGGAGCAACATCTTTAAAATGTTGAAAAGGATTAAAAAAAAAAAAAAATCCCTGTCCACCTACGCTCCTATATCTAGCAAAAAACAGTCTTTAAAAATCAGCAATAGTAAAGATATTTTCAGTAAATAGAAGCTGAAAGAATGTGATACCAGAAGAAATGACACATGAAGTCATTGAAGGTGAAGGGAAATGACCTAAAATGGAAATTCAGATCTGTAGGCATAAAGGCCATGAGAAAAGGCAAGAAATATGTTACTAAACATTTAGAGAAATTGTTTTTTCTCTTTTAATGTCTTTAAACAATAACTGACAAATCATAAAATTATAATACTGTATTATAGAGTTTAGACATAAATAGATGCACTAACACAAAGGAGAATATAAATTAAATTATTTGAAGTTATTTGTAGCAGGGTTTTTACATTTCCACGAAGTAGCATAATTTTCACTTTTGGTACATGAGATTAAAATTATATAGATGCATGCACGCATATATATTAGTATTGATATACATATGAATATTTATATGTGTATGTATATCTACATAAATATGTATATATATATACACACATATATAAATATGTATATGTTGATCTATCCATCTGTATCTATGTCTATGTAAAACCTAGTTGGATTTTATCCCATAAATGTAAGATTGGAAAAACATTAAAAACAAAAATCATCTATGTATGCATAAGGCATCATATTAATAGAATATAGGAGAAAAACAATTGATGACTTCAGTATATCCAGAAAAACACCACTTGACAAAATTCAACATCCATTCAGAATAAAAAATTCTCAGCAAACTAGGAATATAAGGAACTTCCTTGACCCGATAAATGGCATTTATGAATACTCTATAGTGAAAACCATACTTAGTGGTTGAACACTAAATATTTTTCATTTAACATTGGGACCAAGGCAAGGATGTTCACAACTGCCACTTCTATTCAACAATGTGCCAGAAGTCCTAGGCAGGTATGAATAAGAAATAAAATACATAAAGTTTGGAAGGGAAAAATCTCAGTTATCTTTAATCACAGACCTTGTTGTTTACATAGAAAATCCCAAGAAATCTATAAAATGAGTCCTAGATGCATAAGTGAGTTTAGAAACTCATAGTATACAAAAAATACAAAATTTGTTTTCTTTTTATACAGTAGGAATCAACAAATGGAAAATAATATTTTAAAATTCCATTTATATTAGCATAAAAGAAAAGACAGGAATAAATTTAACAACAGATGTGAAAGATTTCAACATGTAAAACTGTACAACTATACATTGCTAATATAAAATTGTGATGACCTAAAAAACTGGAAAGTACACCATATTCAAGGACTGAAAAACTAATATTCTTAAGGTAACAATTCTCTGTAACATGATCAATGTAATCTCAGTCAAAATCCCAACAGCTTTTATAGATTGATTTTTAAATTTATGTAAAAAAGTGGAAGTCCTATAGTCTAAGTTGATTTAAAAAACATGTGTGGGAAAGTAAAAGACTGAGAATTGTGCAAACAATGTTAAAAAAGAAGAAGAAAGTTGGAGGACTCATAAAGCTACATTGAATGAGATAGATACACAGCTCAATAGAACATACTGGATGGTCTAGAAATATGCCTACACATATATGATAAATTGATTTGCAAGAGAGTCCACAATGGGGGGGAGGAGCCAGATGGCGGAGGAGTAGGAGACCTAAATTTCATCTGGTCCCAGG